TACTTCAAACAAATGTTAACATATTTGGCTAAATTTCATCTGAGACAATAAAACTTAAGCCAGTGGATTACTTCAATTGTTCAAAGATATGTTATCACTTGAATTTTTGTTTCTCATTATAGAGAAGATAGAGATATAGACAGAGATATATCTGAAATTCTCCATGACTGATTAAGTGTGCAGGGAAAGACTCTCAAGGACATTTGCAGATGAGATGTTCTAGGCAAATATAGCCTACATTAATCATTACCAGACAGGGGAATACCAAAATTAACCTTATGTGCAAATTCACAACTTAGAAATATGTGCTAAAGTGCAGCACCTTGTTAAATCATTTACTTGGATTTCCGAAGAAATTGTAATATAAATTCTTCCTTCTACACTAACATTGGCATAGTTTTTCAGAAAATTTATTATAACTCTGTACATAGACAGACTTTTAATTTGCAAACAACACAAGCATGGATTCAAAGAGAAAAACTAAAGGGGGAAGAACTTTATAAAAGGGAATGTTTGGAAAAATCTAAGTTAGAGATCTGCAGGCTTTTTCTATAAATGACCAAATATTTAATATTTTAGGTTTCTGTCACAACTACTCAACTCTGCCATCATAGTAGACGATATGTGAACAAATGGGTATGTCTGTGTTCCAGTAAAACTTTATTTACAAAAACAGGCAGAGGGCCAATTTGACCCATAGGCTATGACTTGCCCATCCTTGACCTAAGTCAAAAAGCAGAGGCAGTAAGTTGGATAGGGCATAGTAATAATAAAGGCAATTGTGTCAGGTGCTTTCCAGACATTACCCCTAATCTTCTGACAACACTGCACTGTTCTTTGTTGTCATAATCTGGGTGATCCAAATGAGAAAGCTAAGATTGATAGGACAAGTGACCTTCCCTAGGTCACAAAGCAAATAAGCAGTAGAGGCAAGATTCAAGTCCAAATTTCCTAACCCCAAAGTGTATGGTCTGTTCTTAAAACATATCACACTACTGCATAGTTGAGAGCAGTTAATATCACAGTCATGACAAGCAATTAGTCCTTCCAGGAAACAGGTACCAGCCCTGACTCCATTTAATAAACAACACTTGCTGAATAAAGGAAGGAAGTGAAGTACAGAAAGAAAAGCTCCAAGAAGACAGCCAGTGCCCATCCTACAGGGCTACACACGCGTCCCAATTGTGCATCAGTGCTCATATGTGTTAGAGATATACAAATAATTTATCTTCTGCTCTTTTAATCTAACCATATGAACATTTTCCATAACCATTTCTAGTACTACAGCCTAGTATCATCTCACCCTTTATCTTACAACTACAGAGTTATATTACAGATGCCCTGTTTAAATATCAGTAGCTCCCCATTACCTCCAGGATAACGTTAGGCTCTCATGATATGTGGTCCTTATCTGCATTCTCCATCTCATCTCTGCCTCTCCCTACAGAACCCAGGACTCCAGCCATGCTGAATTCCTCCCAGTTTTCCCAAACCCCACGCCCATCCAGGCGTTTCTGCTTTTTTCTTCTGTTCAGAGCTTCCTGTCTCCCTACCCATCCCCCGTGCCACCACCCCTACCCTTCAAGTCTCATATCTCAACATTTCAGAGCCCCCAGCCATCCGTTCAGAATCTTTGCCCCTAAATTAGAAAGAAATTCTAAGTTCTTCTCTCCCTTACACCAGTATATGTATCAGGATTGCATGGAACATGAGCAAAATCCAGCTGCTACGTTAAACGGTGAAATAAATCATTGGGAAGATCCTTTAAATGAAGGAGTAACTGGCAATTGCAAAAGAAAAGCAAGAAGATTGAGCATTGGTAGGAAGTGGGGAACTGGGGAGGTGATAAGTAGCAAAACAGATCCCGTCTCTGGAAGGACAATTCGTGCACATGAAACCAAGAGTTCTGAGAAGCTGTGTTGAGACAATGCAAACAAGACGTCCACAGCCACACAGAAACGGAGGTGGTGGGATGGGGTTGGCTCTTGGCATCACAGATGTAACCCAGAGAAATAATAACAGGAAAACGTGACCTGCTGTTGGTAGAAGATCTTAAGCCTAGCTAGTTGGGGTACAGTTTGGTTCCCACTTGTCAGCGTGTCTGCTTATATAGATCTGCCTTCTAACAGTTAGAAAATGGTACATCTACAGGCACATCTTACATTAGCAAATAATTTCTCATAGTAGACATTGAGGTTTTTCTTGCTGTCTTACTATGTGTAATCACTGCATATGCCTCCATGAATATCTCCTTAGGCCAGATTGGGAGAAGCCGAATTACTAGACCACATCTATTGCAAATTGCCTTTCAAGTAGCTTGGGCCAATTTAGTCTCTCACCCTCCATGTCTGAGATTAACTGTTTCCACTGACATTTTCCAACACATTATTATTTTTTGATTTTCCAATAAGATGAGCAAATTTATTTTTGCCTCAAATTTGAGAGTGAAGTAAACTGTTTTGTCAGGATTATGTGTAGGTGATACATCAGAAATGTTCTTTTTAATCCCTCTCAATCTTCAAAATACTCTATTTCTTCTTTTCATCTCTTTTTCCTACAATCTAAATTTTAGATCTCATAATTCCAATCTCTGTTTTTTAAAGATCTTTATTTGGGGACTTGTAAATAAACCACTGAAAGTTTATCATTGAAAAACTTGAATATTATTTTGTTCATAATCTAGTTATGATAATGATAATGTAACGAAATTTATAGTACATGTTTTAAATTTTTTTCAGTGAATGATACAAGAACTTTACCCGAAACAAGGGGTTTCTTTAGAAAGGATATCCCTGTATAGAAAAAGTCTGCATTTTCCTCACCCTTATCTTTGAAAGTAGATGTTCTTTAAAGCTGGAAATAACCATTTACTTAATCATATACCTTGGATTATATCCCTGTTATTTCATATTTTGTGGCATTTGTTGATGGATGCTGTGACACATCACTTAGTTTATATTTCAGTTCTTATTTTAAAAAACACATAATTTGGGATTATCAATTCTACTCTCAAATATAACGTGTTTCTTACTTACCAAGTTAATTTCTCAAAGTCTAATTTGATGGTTAATATAATATAATCATAAGTCAGAAGGCCTCTATTTTCCACATTAACATCAGCAATAAAATAAATAATTTTCTGTTTAGTTCTACTTAGTTCCTTATGACCAAAGGTAACAGCTACTTCCAAGGACTGTATCTGGATATGAATTTCCTTATTTCAGAAAATGTAAATTTTTGGTGCAGATACCTTATTAAACATATATTTCTCATATATGGATTTTTCTTCATACTCTGTCTTTATATCTCACAAACAGAAAAATTAAACTTATGATCACTTTTTCAAATTACTTTTAAAGTATTTTGTCCCAAAATGAGAGGACTAAAAATGTAAGAGAAGTAATCGTAATAGTATTGACTGATCGTAATTCCTTGGTGTTGTAATTGTTCATCATGTTTAATTATATTGTTAATTATGCCTATTAACATTTACTTAATTGTAGGCATATCAACTAAATGCAATGCAAGATACTTGATTACATCTGAAATTTTAGAAATAAAAACACTCTAAAGGACATGTAGAGAATTGGACAAATTTGAATATGAATTGTAAATTAGATAATAGTGTTGTAACAATGTTAAATTTCCTTATCATTATAATCATATAGGAGACTACCTTTTTTCTTAGGAGAAAGGGGCTCAAGAATTTGAGGTAATGTGCCTTAAAATCAACAATATACTTTCAACAGTTCAGGAAAAAAACCTGTGTATATGTGTGTTTAATAATATATATACAGAGAGAGAGAGAGAGAGAGACATAGCAAGAGAGAAGATAAATGTGGCAAAATGCTGCAACTGATTCATCTACATGATGGAAATACGTGTGTTCATTGTTCTGTTCTTTCATTTTTATATAGGTTTGAAACTGCAAAACAAAAATTGGGGGAAAGTAACTATGTTTAGTTAATAGAGGCAAATTTACATTCTACCTTGTTTATGAAGAACTTGGACAGGATCCTATATATCTAAGAAAAGCGTTAGGTATGTGTTTGGAAATGTTTCAGTAACTTGAAATAACTTTCAAAAACATCACTTTGCTCTGAGATAATAAAATTAGTGCACTACATTTATATATCCCACAAATTAGTGTTATAATGTGAATGTTTTACACTGATTTCAAATACTCTCCAATTCTCCTAGAAGCTTCTCAAGCTCAGAAACACAATCTTCTTACATTAACCTATGCAAGATATGGTCTAAAAATAACCTTATGAATGTTCTGGCCAAACTAGTCTTACATTTAAGCACACATAGATATGCACAAGAAGAAGAATGTTTGAGCAGGTCTAAAGATAATTCAAACAAAAGCCCACCTGTGCATGTACTGTCTTTAGTACCAACAGGGAGACTTTCCCCAAATCACCCAGATGACAATTCGAAAAGCATCATCACTGTAGATCACATTCACTTTGAGTATGTCCTGCCGCACAGAAACACTCACCACAAGCTCGCCAAATGAATAATTGAAAGTCTAATCCAATTGGAACTTATTATGATTGTATTCATTTCAAAAACTATTTCACTGTAACCGAATTTAAGAGTTGTGCTGTCCCTGCAAAACTCTGCTTAGGTTTTTAGGCCTTCTTTTAAAAATGCAGAAGCTAAACCTGTGTAGCAATTAGTGAATGAGGACTGAATAAATTATGCAACAGATATTTGATCAGACCCACCCCAAATTTTAAGGAAAAAATTAAAAATTGGAAATGTCCAAAATGTGAACATGAGATAAGAAGAGTGTTTGACTTAATTTCTCTTAACTGTCTAAGTCCATTGAATGCTTGCTTACATGCCCACTCACCTCTGATTTGTTAACTAGAGAAGCATTTTAGATGTCATGAGATCGGATCGAAGCTCTGATGATAAAAGACTATAAAAAGGTGTGAGAAGAGAAATGACAGAAAAAGTTAGCAGTCACAGGGCCTGTTGCCTCCTTTCCTTACCTTCACTAACCAGTCTGCTCTTTTGGTCCTGCAGGAACACGACTGACCATATAGAGATGAACGAGTCAGCCAGTGCTGTTTCCAGAAATGGTTGCACGCCTTTGGTGAGTCTAATTTTCACTGATGAGACCAAGAAAGTAAGCTGCTCATTGCACTGGCCATTCTTTTTATAACTGATCCTATGGAAAAAGAGTTGTTTGTGCTCGAGTCTGATTTGTGCTAAAGAGCAGTGGGAAGTCCCAGG